TTTAACCTTTTTTCTGCTTATACCTTAGCAGTATTGAGAGATTTGTCTTCCAGCTCACTAATTACAGTTTCCATCTCTTCAGTTCTAACTCCTTTGCCCTTTCAATGTAGTGTCCATTTCTGATATTCTGTTATTGTTTGGATCTCTTTTTGTAGGTTTTGAATTGTTTCCAATGCTGTATCTATCTTATTTGATTGTTCCTGCAGTGCCTTCCTGACTTCTTATTTTTCTCAACTCCTCTGTATTTTGATACATTTCATTATCATTTTTCTGAATTCCTTCGCAGTCATTTCCAAAGCCTGCCCTCCTTCCAATATGAAGTCTAGGTCTACCTCCAGCTCATTTGTCTAACTCACTTTGGCTTGTGTCTGGACAAATCCAGAGATGGTTGTCTGTTTCTTGGGCATCTTTAGTAGCTAGCTGTGACCTCAATAATGAGATGAATGTATGTTGATGTTTCATTATGCTTTCTGATTGCCTTCAGGTAGATGTAATCAGGAGATGGGCTTCCCTTTTCACTCTTCTTCTTATTCAGAGTAATGATTGCAGGTGTTGACTGCCTATCCTAGTGTATAGCTGCTGGTGTTGGTTCTTGCCTAGATGGTGGGATTTCATAGGGTGTGATTATAGCTTGACTATATGACCACAATTGATGTCGCTTCTTAGGTAATGTAGGGAAAGAATGAGCTCCCTAAAGGTAAAGAGGGGACCAAAAAACAAAACAGAAATAGCAAAAAGACAGATTGGATACAGTAGTCTATAATGGTAGAAATGACAGAAGAGAAAAAAAATTCTGGAGCCAAATATGAGTATGACTTTAATGTCCCTCTCTCGACTTCTTGCCTTCAAGGCCACCTAAGAAATTTCAAGATGCCTCTGTTGGTCGTTATAGCATAACTCAGGATTTAATTTTTGGCCTGTTTCCTTTTCAGTCTGTTTCTCTTTCTCTCCACAACCAGCATTTGGGCCTTTTTCCTAGTGATAAACAGTTCAGGGATGGCTGTGGCCATTTTGTACTGCTGTTTGGTTTTAAGTGGAAAGTTTCCCTTTAAATTCTAAGCAGATCTGTGCACATGCATAGTAGAACCCTCTGAGAGTTGGGGGGGGGTGTCCACTCACTCAGGCACCCCCTCTAGTCACCAGAATTGAGGTACACAGGCAGCAAGAGACCAATGAACAGACACACAAAAAAAGAATGTCCACACCTTTATCTCCCAAGGATCGGTCAGGCATCTGTCTGCAATGGCTCTGATCCTTCTCCCTCTCCATCTCGCCCAAGATGGCTGCTCCAGGAGCCTCTGAGATGGGCCAATCAGAAAGCACTAGATTTCTTTCTTCCCCTACAAATTCCAGTGGCTGTAAGCCTTCAAACTTTCTAAATATTCCTTTATATGTAGTTCAGAGTTTTGGGATTATCCCATGAACTTGCTTTGTCTGGTATTCTGTGTTATTGCTGACAGAGATCCTCACTACACTTTTCCCTGATCCACCATCAAACCGCACCCCTCAACCTCTATTCACTTTAGCTCTTGTATTCTTGTGTTTCCCACTACTTTCCTCTTTTCTCTGCCAACCTCCCTCTTGTTGTATATTGCCTGCCTCATCATCCATGTTAATGTGTCTACCCTTTTAGCCTGTGAATAAGCCCCCTCCCACCTGTAACCATCAGAGTATTTTTTTTTTTTAATCAAGAAAACCTTTTCTTTCTATTTTACAACAGTGGTCTCATACAGTATTTGTCCATCTGTGATTGAGTAATTTCACTCAGCATAATGTCCTCCAGGTTCATCAATATTGTGAGGTATTTTGCAAATTACTTGTTCTTCAGCATTGCATGTATGTACTAAAGTGTTGATGGACATTTAGTCTGTCTCCATCTTTTTATGTGTCTTGTATACAGTATATTGTAGGATCCTGTTTTCTTATCCATTCTGCTATTCTCTGTATCTTGACTGGTGCATTTAATCTATTTACACTTAGTGTAATTATCACTAGGTCTGAATTTGACTTCTGTCATTTTGTTCTGTATGTTTTTTGTGGTGCTGCTGGTTTCTTTGAGCCACATAATTTTCTGCATTGAATTCATTTTGTTGATTTTCTTTTCATTTTCATTTCTGTTAATATTTACTATATTTTTCTGACTTTCCTTTTTATTTTGATGTGAAGATGTATTAATTTTGAGGTTACACTGTAATTTGTTATTTTTTCCTCCCATTTAAAACTGTTTATATTGAAATCTACTTGACTTCCTTGCCATTTGGAAGTTCTTTACACTATTTCCTCTTTTGCTTTGTAGCTGACTTCACTGTAAATTGGTATCTCTGGTTTCCTATTGTTAGTCTTGTAGGTTTGTTAAACCTTAAATACTTCTGTATCTAGATTGAGTTCTAGATGGTGTTGTCATGTATGCTAATCTGCCATTGTTGGTTCTCAGCCTAAATATCACATGGCTCTGAACTCCCAGATAACACGGTCTGTCCTTAGGATAGATGAGGGGCCGAGCTCGTCACACCTCTGGTCACCGGGGGAGCATGGGGAAAAAGAAGGCATGATACCTTTCCTGTCGCCTGTGTAATCTGCTCTGCCAGGCCACCTTCTGTTGCCAAAGCTGCTCACAAAAGTTCAAGATGGTTGCGCTGCATCTGGCTACCTGTTCACCTGTCTCTGTCTCTTGCTATTCCTGTTCAGCTTCTCCTCACAGAAAGCAATCTACTTCTCTAACCTTTCCTCTGATTTCAGGATTTTCATATGGCACTGTGGGTTAATGCACTACACTGCAAGGTTTATTTGAACCACAAGGTTGGCAGTTCAAGCTCACCAGTGGCTCCTTGGAAATCCTATGCAGGGTTGCTATGAGTTGGAACCGACTTGACAGCACTTAACATATTTTATTTGCTCTCTTATATAGTTGTCATGGAGTTCTGGTGTGGCACTGTGGGATAAGGCACTGGACTGCAAGACTGTTTTGAACCACAGGTCAGCAGTTCAAACTTATCAGCCACTCCTTGGAACCCTCATACAGGGTCACTATGAGTTAGAATCGACTTGACGGCACTTAACAGCAACAGTCTTTGTTGTAAGGGGTTCAGGTAGGGGGTTCATGTAGTACATCTGCCTAGTCTGCCATCTTGCCAGAAGTCCTCTCCTAGACTGTTGTTGTTGTTGTTATGTGCCATCGAGTCGGTCTCCTAGACTAGTTTTTAAAAAGCTTTCTAGCAAAACAATAAACAATCTATCCACTTAACTACTTGTTTGTGTTTAACAAATTTAAATTTTTTAAAGATTAATATATTTTAAATTAACATGTTTATGAATATATCAGAAAATGTAAAAATTGCATATAAATTTCATATAACATTAGAAATTAATCATATATTATGCATCTATATGCATTAAAAAGGAGATCTGGTAGCATAGTGGTTACGAATCGGGGTGCTAACCTCAGCATCAGCAGTTTAAAACTACCCGCTGCTCCGCAGGAGAAAGATGAGGCTTTCTGCTCCCGTAAAGATTTACAGCCTTGGAAACCCTGTACAGGGTCACTGTGAGTCAAAACTGACTCCACGGCACACAACATGCATAGAAAGAAAATAAACTTTGGTTGTAGTAGCTTAGTTTGTCTTTTATTATTCAAATGCTGCATGTAGTCGTGTCGTTTTCAAAATACTCTTTAAGAAATATTTTTTGAACCTCTATGTTCCACGAGAGAAAGATGAGATGAGGCTTTCTGCCCCAGTAAAGATTTACAGCCTTGGAAACCCTGTATAGGGTCGCTATGAGTTGGAACAGACTCCACGGCATGTCACAACAACAACATATGTTAAGTACTATTTTAGATGATCCATTAGTGAATAAAGCAAAGGTCTATGCCCGTAAAGAGCTTATATCCTAGTAGAGGGTGGCAGAAATAATAAACATGAAAAACTATATACGTAAAATATGTATATTAAGGAGTCCTGGTAGTATAGTGGTTAGAAGTCAGTCTGCTAACCTCAAGGTCAGTAGTTTGAAACTACCAGCCATTTTGCAGGAGCTTTTTTCTGCTCCCGTAAAGATTTACAGCCTCACTATGAGTCAGAACCAACTCCACGGCTCATAACCGTCAATATATATATATTTGTATATTTATATCTTTGTTAAAAGTTGTAAGTGCTATGGACAAAGAATAGATCAGGAATAGTGGTGCTGGGCATCTTACAATAGTGCATGGGGTGTGTGGGCCTTCACTCAAACTCTTAAGAGGTGAACAAAACTTGAGGATGGGGGGGATTCACCAACTGGATTATCTGGAGGAGAAGCTTGCAGGTAAAGAGAGAAGCTGGAGCTGAGTCCTGAGAAAATGGCCTGGTGTGTTTGAAGATTGAACAGCAGGGAGATCAGGACATGTGGAGCTGAGAGCAAAGGGAGCGAAAGGAGGTAAGGAACGTAGTGGAGCAGATGTGTGTTCGGGAAGGTGGTGGTAGAAGGATTAGTCACGGAGTGCCTTGGATCCTATTCTGAAAGGGAAAACCATTGCCAGGTGTTGACAGAAGAGGCATGGAATTTCTACTTATCTTCTAAGTTAGGAATAAATTGTAGGAGGGCAAAAATGTGTGAGACATTCTCTAAAGCACTTAAAGATGAAACTAAGGATTTTCATCAATTTTAGGAGGATCTATATCATCAGTTCTGGAGTCTTGGAGTGACACTAGATGAAACTAAGGATTTTCATCAATTTTAGGAGGATCTATATCATCAGTTCTGGAGTCTTGGAGTGACACTATAGGATAAGCACTTGACCTCTAGGTTGGTTTGAATCTCAGACTCATCAGCATCAATTTTGGACTCCTGGTGTAGCTCTGTCGATATAAAAGCACTGGACCACAAGGTCAGTTTGAACCAAAAAGTCAGTGGTTCAGAGTCATCAGCTGCTCCTTGGAAACCTTCTACAGGGTCACTATGAGTTGGAAACCATTGACTGTATTTAACATTATCAATTCTATTTGTTTTTATACTGACAGGTTCCTGTGGTAGAAATGAAAGCTTATCGGCAAATGGCCCTTCTAAGTTCTGCTTTTGCATTTAGTTGGAGCAAGTGGAATTTACAATGTGATTCCAGCAAAGTTGTTTTTCAGGTAGAGTATGCAAAATCTCACAAACCACTTTGTCCTCCAAAAGAAAAGGTAATCAAAAATAATCAAAAGATAAACCAGAATTTCCTTTCTTAATCTAAACCAAACCCACTGCCATCAAGTCCATTTTGATGGGACAGCCAACTTGACAGGAGGAGCTGGTGAGTTTGAATCGTTGACCTTGAGGTTAGCAGTCCAGTGCTAACCCCATACCATGGCTCCGTCCCTTCTTAAAATGGTGGAAAAAACGAACTTTCAAAATATGTTTTCAAAATGTCAAATATTTTCAGTTTGTCAAACTATAAACCCAAACTGTATAAAGGTTTTGCCTTCCTTGTCCATGGTGCAGTCCAGGCTTCAGTCCTGTATCACTTTGTATCAACTCAAGAATAAAGGGGAGCCTTTAATGTGGGTACACCTATCATTTACAAGCTCTTGCCTCCAACATATCTGACATATATACTGCTTCCTGGTAAAGAAAGGTATCATCAAATTCTAAAAAACTGATGGATGTTTTAGCATGAACAACCATTCACAGGGGAGTAGGAAAGCCCCCATCCGCAAGACAAAGTCTTTGCTTTCCTAGGAACTCCTTCCAAGATGCCCCTAGGCTGCCTGAGTTTTTAATTATTTTATTTTGTGTTTTGTCAAAGACTAGATTTTGTTATTAATGTATTTTGGTTGAGTTTTTTATGTGTTTTGTTTCACTCATATATTCTATATTCTAAGCACTTAGAACCGAGATGGGCACATGATAGGTGCTGAGTGAAAAGCGTACATGTGGATAAGAACTCCATTTGTGGAAGGCTATCGTTTATAGTGGGAGTCCTCACTCCTTATTGAATCTTGGCATAAATTCAGCCTCTATTGAGTTCATTTTGACCATTAATTGGCAACGTAAATAAAAATCAGCCCTCAGGCAGAGTATGTTTGAAAGTAGACCACAATTCCCCTGGCAAGCTCAAGGAAGGAATCTCACCCTCAAGGACTTGACCTTTGTGGAAATTGTGGTACAAAGGCTCCATGGGCCTGAGTCATACCTCCACCACCATGGTCAGAAGGCCCCAGCACCCGTCCTGGAAGCTTTTCTATGTATCCCACTCATGGTCCCTTTCCTGTTTCTGTAGTCCCTCCCATCTGAAACACTGATGAATTGATCTGCTGCCAATCATGATTTTGTGATGAAGTTCTATAATGAGTAGTGTAGCCATGAAACCTCTGAATGCAACTAGAGCCTCCGTTATTTGGATGATTTATCCTTTTCATGTTCAAGACTTTAGTAACGGGGTCTCTGTGAAATATATTACAGTTGTGGGTCTTGTCTTTTCCCTCCCTATAGCAATATACAAATAGTTTTATGGTTAAAAAAATGAACAATGAAACATTAAAAATGTTTCCTTAGTGGCTGGTGATGGTAGTACAGTATGATGAATGTAATTAATGTGATTGAAAATGTGAGTGAATTGTACAATGAGAAATGTTTTGTTTTATACATGTATTGATCACAATTTCAAAAAGAATGTTCTGGGTTTTTCATGTTAGCAATTGTGAGAACTGAGTTGAGCCCTTCAAATAATCCCTAAGTGAAGAAGAACAATTAACATCTATATTTTTGTTTTTTTCAGGTGAAGGAACACCTTAACCGAGAACCCGATACTGAATATTCCAACTGGGCCCTTTTAATGTTCAGTGGTAACAGAGCACAAAGACTGAAAATCAGCGAAGACAGTGACACCTTCTCTGAAGCACTTAAAGATGAAACTGAGTTCCATTCTACTCTCTATCACATGATTAAGGATTTTGCTTCTGAAGAAGCTATAGGTAAAGTCAAGAGTTCCAACTGCATGCTTATTGACTCTGTGTGCCATATGCTACTTTCTATCCGATTTCTCAGTTATTCTTAATCCCAAGAATCAGGCAACTTGAAACAGACATTTCCTTCAATGACCTAATTAGTATTTTACACCCAAATTTTATTTTGAAGCATATGTTTTATTTTCCCTACTAAATTGTACTTGGCCTATTGAAAATTTCAGTAGGAATGCCTCTTTATTTCAATAAATTTTAACCAATATATAATACTTCTTCCTTGAAAAGCTCATTTATGATCACAGACTTCTTCCCCACTGGATTTTAGATGGCGAGGGAATCACAGAAAGAACTAACAGAAAATAGCTTACCGTTGTGCCAAGAACCTCTGGCTTCATGCTATCCTTTTCCAGCTAAAGGTTACTAATTTACAAAGTTCAGAAAATTTTAAGAAATCAGAGAGCACATTAAGATGTGCTGCAGTCACACTGGTGGTGGCCCATTCTGTTGGAATTTGGTGTAAGGCCACAGGGCATGTTCTAGGGACATCCAGGAGTCCCCGTTCTGTGTGGGAGCAGCATCCACGGACTTCTGGAAAAATAAGCCTGTGAGGAAGCTCATCAGAGCTGCAAACAGTACAACGACTACAACAGAAATCCACAGGGCCTTATTAGCTGTTCTGAATGAAGTCTTGAGTTTTGTAGCCCAGCAAGCAATTGAGTCATAACTGTAAGGAAAATACAAATACAGAATTTGGTGATCCAAATCATTTGTTATTAAAAATAATGTTAAAAATACAATCAAATCATGAATGTGCTTACCTATTATCCTGGTGTGGTGCTACAGGGTAAGCACTGGGCCACAAGGTCAGTGGCTCAAACTTAGCAGCTGCTCCTCAGAAATCCTACACTGAGTTGATCTGAATCAGAACTGACTGACTCAAGGGCACTTAACATTGCCTTACTATTAAGTGCCATTGAGTCGGTTCCGACTTAAAGCGACCCTGTGTAGTTTCCGAGGAGTGGCTGATAAATTTGAACTGCCGACCTGTGGTTAAGAGTCCACCCTAACAGCACAACACCAGAATCCCAACATTGTCATCTTACTTAACTACATATGATGATCTTGCTTTGATATATCACTCCTAGTGAGTACATTCCAGTATTTATGTCATTCTTTCAACCAGATAAGGTAACTAACTATATGCAACTTGAAATATTATTTACTGGGTAGAGTAGGATACACAAGATGACTTCAAAAATTTAATGGAAAAATTCAGTTTCTTCCACAAACTTTTTGAAGCCCCTAGTATGTGTGTATGTTTATAAACATGTCACTTGTTTCATCATAACCTGTACTTCACTGTTATTGAAATTCAGTTAGGTCTTTGAAAATAGTGGACTCCATGTTACACATGTGCTGACTGACAACCACACAGTGACATGACTACTCTTCTCATCCTTGTTTTATAGCTAAACTAGCACTCAGTAATGGATAAACTTGCCTATATCACACATGTTGTAGTTAAGCGTCATTGAGTCATTTCCGACTCAGTGACCCTGTGTGTATGGTTTTCTAGGAGTGCCTGGTGAGCTTGTAGTTCAAACAGATCATGCATTCCAGCGCATTATCCTGCCATGTTACACCAGGACATACACAGCTACCCCAAACAAAGAGCCAGTTGACATCACGTCAGTTCTGATTCACTACAACTCCTGAGTAAATTGTATTCCATAGGGTTTTCATGGCTGTGACATTTTGGAAGCAGATCACCAGGCCTTTCTACCAAGGGGCTTCGAGGTGGGTTTGAAATGCAATCTTTGGGTTAGTAGTCAAGCTCCTAATTATTTGTGCCTTCCAGGGACTCCTCATACCTAGTTTTATGTACTTAACTGTAACCACAGGTCACCAAGCCTCCTTTAGAGTTTGTTAGATAACACTGTTTTTTGATAATATTCTTGCCTTACTTTTACCCATTTCTACCAAAATGTAATCATTTAAAAAATGGACAACTTACACTGAAGAAACATCCCATTTTGATGGATTATTTTTCTTTTCAGAGAGACTGGACTTCCTTGTCCTTTCTACTATTTCTTCTCCAGGTGGTTCTGAGTCATCTTTAGTTCTGTAAATAAATCTTGTTTTAAATATTTGAAACAAAGGTGTAGAATCTATAACTCAAGACTACAAATACTTGCATTGCTTTAGAAAGATTGCATGTATTATCTATGAGGGAGTTCCAAAAGTTCATGGGAAGATTCTATTATCTTTCCATTCCATTTTCCATGAATTTTTTGAAGCTTCCTCATACTTCTCAAAATCAAAATCACCAAATTTATAGTTAGCCATTTATAAGGTTTTATTAAAAAATACCTTACAATCATTGCTACATTTGAGCCCACTGCTGCTGCCACTGTGCCAATCCATCTTCCTTTTCTCCAACCCTCCATTTAAGCAAACATGGTATCTTTCTCTAGGGACCGGTCCTTCCTGGCAATATGTCTGAAGTATGAGAGATGTAGTCTTGTCATCCTGGCTTCTAAGGAACATTCTGGCTGCACTTCTTTAAAAACTGATTGGTTAGTTCTTTTGGCAGTCCCTGATACTTCTATTATTTTCCTCCAACATCATAACTCAAAGGCATCAATTCTTCTATGGTCTTCCCTATTCACTATCCAACTTTTACATGCCTATGAGGTTATTGAAAATACCATGGCTTGGGTTAGACATACCTTAGTCCTCAAAGTGACATCTTTGCTCTTCAACACTTTAAAGAGGTCTTGTGCAGATTTGCCTAATGCTATACATGCAGCCAGAGTGCTCCTTGGAGGCCAAGATGGCTAAACTTCATCTCTCATACCTCAGACATATTGTCAGGAGGGACCAGAAGGATATCATGTTTGGTAAGGTGGAGGGGGAAGCAAAAGAGAGTAAGACCCCCAACGAGATGGATTAGCCAAGTGGCAGCATCCATGGACTCGAGCATGGCAACAGTAGTGAGGTTGGCCCAGGATCGGGCAGTGTTTTGTTCTGTGGTGCATAAGGTCGCTATGAGTCGGTACCGACTTGGCACTTAACAATAATAAATACGTCCTTTGATTTCTTGACTTTTACTTCCATGAGTGTCGATGGTTGATCCAAACAAAATGAAGTCTTTGGCAATTTCAATCTTTTCTCCATTTAGATGGGATGTTGTTTATCGGTCCAATGGTGAGGATTTTTGTCTTCTTTACATTGAGGGGCAACACATACCGAAGGCTGTGGCCTTTGATCTTCAACAGTAAGTATTTTAAGTCCTCTTCACATTCAGCAAGCAAGGTTGTTATCATCAGCATATCACAGGCTGTTCATTAATCTTCCTCCAATCCTGATGCCATGTTTTTCTTCATTATAACCTAGCTTCTCAGATTATATACTCAGCACACAGACTATGATAAAAGCACACACCTTTCTTAATTTTAAACCATTCAGGGTTCCTTGTTCTGTTTGAACAACTGTCTATTTGTCTATGTACAGGCTCCTCATGAGCACAATTCAGTGTTCCAGGATACTCATTCTCCACAATGTTGTCCATAGCTTATCATGATCCACACAATCAAAAGCCTTTGTGTAGTCAATAAAGCAGATAAGCATCTTTCTGTAATTCTCTGCTATCAGCCAAGATCCATCTGACATCAGCAACAGTATTCCTTGTTCCACGTCCTTGTCTGAATCTAGATCTCTGTCAATGTATGTTTGCAGCCGTTTTTGGATTATCTTTAGCAAAATTTTACTTGTATGATATATTAATAATACTGTCTGGTGACTTTCCATTGGGTCACCTCTCTTTGTAATGGGCACAAATATGGATCTTATACAGTCAGTTGGCCAGGTAGCTAGCTGTCTTCCAAATTTGTCTGGAAGAGTGAGTGCCCCCCATACTTATCAGTTTGTTGAAAGATTTCAGTCTGTATTCCATCAATTCCTGGAACTTTGTTCTTTGCCAACGCCTTCAAGAACCTTGGACTTCTTCCTTCAGGATCATTTGTTCTTGATAATATGCTACCTCTTGAAATGGTTGAACACTGACCATTTCTTTTTGGTACAGTGACTCTGTATTCCTTACATCTTCTTTTGATGATTTCTGCATCATTCAAATATTTTTACCACAAAATCCTTCAATATTGCAAATCAAGGCTTGACTTTTTTGTTCTGTTCCATCAGCTTGAGAAACACTCATATACGGTTTTCTGATTTCAGGTCTTTGCACATTTCGTTATAATATCTGACTTTGTCTTCTCAAATTGACTTTTGAAAATTTCTGTTTGGCTCTTGTTACCTTCTCATTTCTTCCATTTGCTTTAGTATCTCTATGCTGGAGAACAAGTTTCAGAGTCTCTTTTGACATTCATTTTGGTCTTTTCTTCTTAATGACCTTTTGCTTTCTTCCTGCATGGTGTTCTTGATGTCATCCCACAACTCTTTAGTGTCTAATATATCAAATCTATTTTTGAGATGATATCTAAACTCAGGTGGAATATGTTCAAGGTCATATTTTGGCTCTCATAGACTTTTTAAAAATTTTCTTCAGCTTCAGCCTGAATTTGTATATGAGCAGTTAATGGTCTGTTCTACAGTTTGCTCCTGGCCTTGTTTTGGCTGATGATATGGAGCTTTTCCACCATCTCTTTCCACAGATGTAATCAATTTTATTTCTGTGTATCCATCTGGTGAGGTCCATGTGTATAGTCATCCTTTATGTTTAAAAAAGGTAACTGCAATGAAGTCATTGGTCATGCAGAATTCTCTCTTGCTTTCTCCAGCATCATTCCTATCACCAAGGCCATATTTTCCAACTACTGATCCTTCTGTTTTTCAACCTTTGCATTCCAATCACCAATAATTATCAATACATCTTGATTGCTTGTTTGACCAATTTCAGACTGAAGAAGGTGATAGTTGTTATGTACTGTCGAGTCAGTTCTAATCCATAGTGACCCTGCATAGGCTTTCTGAGGAGTGGCTGGTGAGCTTGAACTGCCGACCTTGTGGTTCAAACTGACTTTGCAGCCCAGTGCACTAACAACCCACAACACCACACCAGGACTCCCGAAAAAGGTGGTAGAATTCTTCCATTTCATCATCACTGTAGTGGTTGGTAAGAAAATTGTAATTATAGTAGATTTAACTGGTCTTCCTTGTAGGCATATGGATATTGTCCAGTCACAGGCCTGTAGCCAAGGGAGCAGAATTGCTATCTCAGTGGACATAAGAGGTATTGCTGAATTCGAAGAGCTTGTTCAACAGATAACTTGCGTTCTAGATTTCACGGTGTTCCCAGATGAGAGATTTTAACCTAGGATGGAATACACTTAAAGATTAAACATATTTGATTTAGATGACTTAGAAAATGAGATTGTGTTTTGCATGTTGAAAGGATAAGAATTTTAGGGGGGTGGAAAGCAATTTGACCATAACAGAAGCCTTAAAAGTGTTATTTTAACTCAGCAGTGGACAAGTACATGGATGTGTATATACAATATGTTGTTCATCAGTATTGCACATATCTACTGTAAATCCTAACTCCTATACTGTGAATGTAATCTCATATGGGAATAGGATTTTTGTTGTAAGTGAGGGTGCGTCTTAGGTCAATCACCTTTGAGATATAAAATGAGCAGATTAGGCACACAGATGCAAGCCGAGATGGGGGGTGACAGATGCCCGGTCACATGAAGACTGCCAAGAATTGAGGCACAGAAATTGAAAAAGACCCAAGGATCTTCTTGCAGAGCCAACAGAGAGAGGAAGCCTTTCCCTAGAGTTGGCACCCTGAATTTTGAAATTCTATGTTCATATTGCCCTCAACAAATGTCAAAAGGAACTACGTCTTTTCTTTCTCTCTCAAGCATCTATATAGGAAATACATGTGGTAGGATTTAGTCCTGTTTGTAAAGGAAACAAGGCCCACAACCAGAATCATACTCATTCTTATAAGGTTGTCAAGGTCTGTCTTTGGTTTACAGAGTATTCTCTGTGGAAATAATACCAAACAAACAAAAAGCAAGAAATAGATTATGACCCATTAAAGGAATCTCTTGACCCATTACAGTGATTCTAAGCCTGAAAAGAGTTTGTAATGCAGACATAAGTGTAACGGATTGATGTGTCCCCCAAAATGTTGTAAATCCTAACTTCTATGCCTGTGATTATAATGCCATTTGGGAATGGACTGGTTGTCTTTGTGATGTTGCTGAGGCAGCATTAGTGTAGCATGCATTTTGAGACAACCTCTTTTGAGATATAAAACATATTGAGGGAAGAGAGATGTCAAGTTACATAAAACCTGCCCAGGAGCTAAAGCTCAAAAGACACAAGTAACTTCCTCCTGAGCAGACAGAGAATGATTTCCTCTAAAGTCACTATCCTGAATTCAGAGAAAATAAATTTTTGTCAAAGACAAGTGGACTTCCAAAATTATCAAACCAAAAATAAACTCTTTGAGAGTAGATGGTATGTCTGCTCAACTTTCTATACCCAAGATTGAGCACACTGCCCATTACATAATAGGTACTCAATGAACATGTATAAAATAAACATACAATTGTGTCATTAAAATCCCTTATTTGTACAGATGAGGACACAGACCACAATTTGTTCAAGGTTGCCCAGTGACTCAGAGGCATCATTTCTTCATGTCCCTCTTGCTGTCTACCATTCACTGCAGAAGTATATAATTTATAAGTTTGTTTCATTTGCTAATGAGTTTTAGGCTTCTCCTAATCATGATTTACAAAAATAAAAGCCATATATAATTCACAGGTGCACACATCACATATAAATAAATGCTACACAAAGAAAAACTCTACATCAATGAACATTTTATTTCTGTGGCTATTTACTGACCTTTCTCCCTGAAGGCCCAATACCTATTCAGGAAAAAATCATCTTTGCAAGTCTGACAAACTCAAATGTTTTTTCTAATTTAGTACTTCTAACCTTGCAGTTTTGAGTGCTACATGCATGAATGCGTCCACAAATATTTATATAGTGCCTTATAGTTTATAAAAAGTCTTTCACAATGAATTATCTTTTTGGTGATCTCGTTTCCGAATAAACATGCTCCCCATTGTCTGTGCCCTGGTTTACATCAGGCTAACAAGCAAACCAAGCTTCACTTACTTTGGGTCACATTTTTCATCTTCAGCATTGGCCCAGGAATAGGTGCTAATAAATCGATGTAATGAGGGACGGTGTTCACTCTGTTTTGATCCCAAAACACGCCTAAATAAAGATAATTAAATCTGCTTGTCAAAATGTATCTTCAACCATTATCAATTTATTTCCTATTGCTTAAATGATAATTGATACAAATCAATTTATAATTAATTTCTTTGTACATTCACTTAACTTTTATCTCATAATAAAACAACCTCATGACATGTGTGCATGTAAAAAGTTATGTACTGTCCTTAAAACTGTATCAACCAAATATTACTGTATCACTTATTTCAAATGCTATTTATGTTAGGCCAATCAACAGCGTCCCTGTGGGTTAGTGTACCAGACTGCACTCGACAGCACTTAACAACAACAATGATCATGGGACATTAACAATGGGTTCAACTGTGAGGACGACAGAGGACTGGGCAGTGTTTTGTCCTATTGTGCATAGGACTGCTATGAGTCAGAATCAAGTCGACACCTAACAACAGCAACAAACAATATAGTAAGGTTCTGAAAAAGCAGCCATCAAATTGCACTCACCAACTGCTTGACCTCCGATTGAATCGGTCATTATTTTCCATCCCAGCCACCTTTAGAAGTTCACATGTTCAAGAAATGATAAAATAGGAGTTTAGTGAGGTAAGTTCATATTTTTGTCATGTGAAAATGAATATATTATTTGCTAAAAATGCTGAGGAATTTGCTTACCATTCCTGCATTTCCAATATTTCTGGGCAAAGAAGCAATTGTCACTCTTCGAAGTGAAGATGGCTACATGAAAGAGGAAAAGGTAGGTACATGTAGAAAATTTTCTATTTTTTCTTTGCATACAACACTGATTAACATATTGTATATACACATCCATGTATTTGTCCACTGCCGAGTTAGAATAACACTTTCAAGGCTTTTGTTATGGTCAAATTACTTTCTACCTTAACTTCCCCAACATTGAGTTATTGTAATTCTTGCATCAAGCAAGGAATATATATGAAGGGAGCTTCAAAAAGATGATGGAAAAATGGAATTAAAAGATAATGGAATTTCTCCACAAACTTTCAAAGCCTCACTGTATAATTTCTTGGTTTGTATGTATTTGACTTCTAGTAACACTGAATGCTATTTTTCTATTTTGAATAGCTATGTGCATTTCTGTTCCAAGAATTACCTTATTTGTGCCTTTTATTCATTTTAATTTTCTTCATTATATTTCTGGCTAAAAAGTTTATTATTGAGAATGCAGTCAAATCTTCCCCCCCCCCTTTTGCTATCATTGCCTTTATAAAGCTTAGAAAGGCTTTCCCAACTTAAAATAAGGTAAGTTAGGCACACATATTTGTAGCCTTTCTTTTTCTCATGCTTTAGGTTTTATGTCCTGTTCCCCACCTCTTGCTTCCCCATCTAAACTTTTAAGTATGAACCTAGTATTTTAATACATGGATATGTTTGTAGATCAGACTTGGGCTTTACACAGAAAGAGTATTAAGTGGCTCTTAAAGCTTAAATTAGCACAATTTTAGCATAGAAAATATTTTAAATACAGTAAACATATTAAAGTACTTTTATGGTGAATCTTTTTCTTATACCATCCATCCCTAATTTATTTTCATAGGGCATAGAACATCCAGGATTTAAAACTGAGGCCTAAGAAAGCTGGGTTCTATCTCCACTTGATCATGATTAATCACTTGGCTTCTGTGCTTCACTATTTCCTCATCTATGAAAAAAGAGGGATTTGGGTGAAATGATTGTTAAGTCACTTGCTCAAAAATTCTGTTAAGTGTCATTGAGTCAGTTCTGACTAATAGCAACCCTGTATAGAGTTTCCTAAGAGTGGCTAAAGAGTAGCTAGTGAACTTGAACTGCCGACCTGGAGGTTCAAGTCAACCTTATAGTCCAGAGTATTAACTCACAGCACCACACCTATAAATCTGTCCAATTTTGATTTTCAAATTATGACAACAATTGCTGGTTTACCTTCAATAGCTTGTTCTTCTCTCTTTATTTAGAAACAAACCCTTGACTTTTAGCTAGGCTCACAGCCTCTGGAATAAAAACAATATCCTAGTCTTTTGTGCAGCTATAAGGGAAATGTTATGTGTCTCATCCAACAAGTGTCTCTAGAAAGGAAGGAAACCCTCCTCTTTCTTTCTTCTTGGATAGGGTAACACTGTGGAATCAGTGCTGGATCCAACTTAGTCATCTTAGGTCATGAGGTAGAAAGCAAGAGTTGAGGGCAATAAATAGGAAGAGAGGTGGAGTCTGATCCCTAGGGATCTGGTGAAGCTTCTCTACCATCATGCATTACCTATTTCCAACTTTTGTTGTACATCAGAAGGAAATACACTATTGTTATAGCGGTTTTCTTGATCCTGACAAGCAGACTTAACTAATATAATAATACAGCAGGAAGTATAAAAGCAAACAAATATAAACACAGAGAGAGAGAGATAGGTACATAAAGCACTTGTTTTGTGATTTGTGATTTGTATTTACAATCATATAGCTTCAAAAGTATTTTTAAAACCATCTTACTTATAAACATTTAATAGACATTTATTTGCCAAATGAATTAGCAAGGGAACTAATAATTACCTTTGAGTTTAGCGAAGCTGAACGTTTTTTAATTTGGCAGTCATCTGAAGGGAAAAACACATTTTACAAATTACATATGTATTTATGTTAAAGCATGGTTTTAATTCTTTAGTAAATAATGCAATGGTCAGAAAGTCTTATTTAAGACCCTAGAGATTACTGAGCAAAGTAGCATCTGATTAACATTTATTTAGTGATCCATAACAGTTACTGTCTTAGTTACTGAAAAACAGTAGTCTTGGTCACTGTTGTTGTTAGGTGCCCTTGAGTGGCTGTAGATGTCCACAATGATCTGCTACCACATCATAATGATTAAAGCTAAAATCACAACAACCCATGAACCCTATGCAGCTGTTCTGCTCTAATACCCGGCGTCACCATGCACCTGAATCAACTTGACAGCAGCAGGAGGGTCCATTTAATAGACTGGATTTAAATATATTCTTTCATCTCAGCAAGAAAAACTGATTTATGCATTTTTGGTAATATTACCAATAAATCCTTCTTGTCTTCCAACCTGTTTTCTAACATCTTACTTTTGTTTGTATTAATAGCAGGAATGAATTATTCTTTTTGAGGCTTTCTACTCCTGTAAAGATTTACACCCTCGGAAACCCTGTACAGGGTCGCTATGGGTC